AACGAAGCCGAATACGAGGCTTTAATCTCAGGATTACAATTTGGTGAATCTATGAACGTCTGCCCACTTCGAATATTCTCGGACTCTCAACTGCTCGTGAATCAGATTAATAGAACATTTGAAGTCAAGGAACCTCGGCTAATCCCTTACTTGGAACTCGTCAAGAAAAAAATTGTCAAAGTTTAGAGTGTCGTTGAAACACATACCTCGGACATTGAATGTTCAAGCCAACGCCCTATCACGACTGGCCTCTTCTACCGATTTGAATAATGTTGAGTTCGTACAGGTCGCTTAGCAAACGACACCATCAACAACTGTAACCGACGTCTTGATGACCGATGTATCCATTCGAGCGGGAATCCGACGTGGATGGATCCCATCATAGTTTACCTACAAACTGAGGCCTTACCCGGTGATCCCAGAGAAGCACGTACACTTCGTGTTCGTGCAGCCCATTTTACAATGGATAATGGAACCTTGTATGAACGGGGATGCTCTGCTCCCTTGCTCAAATGCTTGTCGGAAGCTGAAGCACGACATGTCTTGGAAGAAGTCCATGAAGGCACTTGCGGCACTCACCACGGAGCACAAGCCTTGTCCTATAAAATACTCCGACAAGGCTATTATTGGTCAACCCTCAAGAAGATGCTTCTGAAGGGGTGCGGAAATGTTAAAAATGCCAAATATTCGCTCCCAACGTCAACCAACACCCGGAACTTCTGAAGTCGGTCTATAGTCCTTCGCCGTTTGCAAAGTGAGGAATTGATCTCATTGGCCCTCTCCCAACGGCAAAAGGAGGTGTTAGATTTGCAATATTAGTCGTTGACTATTTCACCAAATGGGTGGAAGCTGAACCCTGTCGACCATTACTGAACAGAAAATGATCGACTTTCTTTGGAAATCTGTTATTTGCCGATTTGGAATACCGAATTCTATCATAACCGATAACGGTCGTCAGTTTGAAGGAGAAAGATTTGAAACCTTTTGTCAAGATCACGGCATCAGACACTTTTTCTCATCACCGTACTACCCACAAGCTAATGGGCAAATCGAATCCGTGAACAAGATTATTAAAAATGTCTTGAAAACTCGACTCGAGTCGGCAAAAGGATCTTGGCCTGAAGAGCACCCTCATGTCTTAGGGGCTTATCGTACAACACCTCGGATTTCAACTGGAGAAACTCCATTCTCATTGGCTTATGGGACCGAAGCCATCGTTCTCGTTGAGCTTGACTCCCCGACTTATCGAGTCACACATTTCTCCGAGGAAACAAACTCGGATGACTTAATAGCCAACCTTGATTTAATCGAAGAGTTAAGTACGAGAGCCGAAATCAAGAATGCCGCACATAAACAACGAAGTGAGAAATACATTAATGCAAAGTTTAAGCCATGACACTTCGCCGTAGGAGACCTCATTCTGAAAAGAACTGGGGCCAACCTCGGCCCGTTGCAACCAAAGTGGGAAGGACCTTTCAAGATAAATTGTGTGATTTCCAATGGTACTTACCGACTCGAGAAATCGAATGGTATCCTTCTTCCATATCCTTAGAACGCAATATTTCTCAAAAAATATTTCCAGTATGACGAGTCTTATCAACTCGATGTTTTCAAGGAATGATGTCCAAAGAAGTTATTTTGAAGACACTTGTACAAAACTACTTTTGTTATCAATAAAAAATATGTGTCGAATCTCAATAAATTGTTCTACCACTGGACTCTCAAAAATAAGTCCTCAATGCTAAAGCAAAACTCTTTCGAACTTTGAAGTTGGTTTGAACTAGCTGACGCAATAAAGTCGGATACTTCCAAGCCCTGAAGATGGTTTGGGGAGGCTTGAGCTCTCTAATTTTCAATCCCGACGTTGATTTGATGAGCTGACAATAAACATCACTTCTGAATCCCGAAGTTGATTCGGTGATATTACAATAAAATTGAGTTTTTCGTGATTCATCTGGTCTGAAGTCCATAAATGTCGGAAACAAAATAAACCGACGTCTAGGTTACAATAAAATCCAGGTAAATGTGGAGTAAAAAAGTAAGGATGGCAATTCAAAATATTCTATCGATAATCTTTAATATTCATTATATTCCGAAGTCCTTTAACTCCATCATTTAGCTACACCGATTTCTACTCATCCCATTAGACAAACGATATATCAAAAAATGATAAACTGATGGGAAACAATAAAATTGAAATCGAAAGAACATTTTCATTCAAAACACAATAAAGTTATTACAAGCAAGGATTCCCTACTAACATGTTCTTAGAAAGAAGTTTAAAAAAGCATAAAACAATCAAGGAGTCTTCTCCAAGTCCTCTTTATCCACTCCTGAAGATGACGCTTCTCCTGCAGCCGACGTTGAGGGCCTTTCAGTCTCGGCTCCGGCTCTGTCCTCGTCTTCCAAGTGCTTCAACAGGCTTTCTCCTAATTGTTGGAAAGCCTCATTTTCTTTTCTTTCAACCGCCGAGAGGACATCTCCTTTTGTTATCAGGACAACATCATCTTCATGGACCACTTCGTCCTTATCGGGAAGGCCATGCCCAACTACCCATCCCTTTGTCCTAGCCTCATCTTCGGCTACTTTCTGCTGAGCAAAGCTAATAATAGCATCAATCAGATCATCATCGGATAAAGTGTCGAGCATTTGATCGACAAAAGCCTCAGCTACGGCCTCAACACAAACATCGGCTAGCTCCGACTTTTTTTCCTTCTCAACTTCTAAGACCATGCTGACGAAGGCCCGACAAATGGCAGCTCTTCGTTCCTCTGATAAAGGGGCAATATCTAACTCAAGCATCCGACTCTCTCTGCGCTTGAGCAGTCTATCAGCGAACTCTCGCTCGTCCTCATCAGTCGGGATATTAGCGCTTTTGATTTCGGAGTCAAGACCATAGTTTTCCAATTTTCCACTAAGAAGATCCGCATCTCATCAAGAGTGTAAATTCCGGCATGGACTCGGTCAATCACCCAACGTAAGGTTAAAGCGGCATTGAGTTCTAAGTCCCTCTCCGTTATCACGACCTCGTCGTCTGACCTGACCTTGGAGTCTTTCTCAGCCTTCTTGCCGGCCTCGAGGCCCTCCTGGAACTTGGCTTCGGCCACAGCAGCCAACTCCTCACGAAGTTTAACCACTTCGGTGATATGGGATATTATATACACAAGGCTAAATCGGTCTGCCCAGCCTGTCGAGAAGATCAAACCAAGAGGAAGCCAAGCCAAAAGGCGGGAGGATCGATCATTTAGATAATCGACCAGGCAGATAGTCGACCAAATCCATCGCTCGACCAAATAAGTGATCGAGCAACCTCTTCGACCTCATCAGGTCGATTGCCTCGAGGACCTAACAGTCGGCCTAGTCACAGGCGCGTGTAGGAACCTCTAACCAAATCTCAGGAGAATATTTACCCCATGTGCAGGGGGACACGTGTCGAGAATACATTGGTGGATATCGATAACCACCTCTGACAGCTCCCCAATGCCCCCATGCAACCTCTGACATGCGCCCGGTGTGTCAGAGTACGGACGGGCAGCTTGGGCAGCCAGCTCATCTTATCTGGGCAGCTATTAGGGCAGGTATCTCACCCCTATATAAAGGGGGTGAGCCTTTCTCCCTTAACACATTCTATTCATTCTTCACTTCAGTATACACATACACATACTGACTTTTAGGATCGGAGGCTCTTCACCGGACACAACCCCCGGTGTGAGAGTTACTTGCAGGTTTTCGGCGTTCTACCGGCGAGGACAAAGATCGATCCATTCTAAACCGGACCAGGACGCTCACACTTGCATTATTGGCGCCGTCTGTGGGGATTTTTCGTTAAAAAGTTGTGTTTGAAGCTCAGCTATGGCGGACGGAATTCCCAAAAACTTGCAGTCAACATTCGACGAGGCTTGGACGAAGACCAGGCTGATGGGGCAGGGCCCTCCTCCGGGTTTTTCCGGCCCATCGCAGACTCCGATCACTCCCACACCTATCCTTCAAGGTGTGGGAGTGACGATGGCGATTCCCGGAGGAGATATCGGCTCCAGTCGGGCCCAGGAGGCTCGCGCAGCAGCCGCGGCGGCGATGCCACCGCCACCACCGCCAAATCCGACACTGGTGCAAGGAGGAGCGATGGCGCAAGGAGGAGCGCCACCACATGCAGCTGTACCAGCCCCCGGTCAGCAAATAGTGACGATGACCCTGGAGGAGATGCAGAGGATAGCGGCGGCCGCGGCGGCGCAGGCGGTCAGCAGGTTACGAGCCACACATCTCATGCCACCACTGCGCCGACCACGGTGGCCGGGAACCAAGATGAGGATGTTTCCAGTTATGGAGAGGGAGGAGTTGGAAGAGATCGAGCGATGGAGAGGATGGCGGAGCAGTTGCGCCAGTTGCAGGACAAGATGGAGGGAAGGCCAGAGAGGAGAGCTTGAGGACATCCCTTTTCGAGGAAGATTCTCACTGCTCTGTTGCCGAATAATTTCAAGGAGACCAACTTGGTGTATGACGGGTCTTCTGACCCGTCGAGGCATGTGAGGACCTTTGAAAATATGGCTGTGTTACATGGATATTCTGATTCTGTTTGTTGCAGGGCGTTTCTATCGACCTTGTGCGGAGGAGCCCTTGACTGGTTTCACCAGTTGTCCTCTGGGTCGATTGCGGATTTTGAGGATTTTTCCAGCAAGCTTACTAATCAATATTCGAGCGCGGTGGCGCATGAGAAAACGTATTTGACGTTGACGGCGATGAGGTAGGGGGAGAAGGAGTCATTGAGGAAGTATATCGCTCGATATAACCAGACGTGTTTGGAGGTGCATTCGGCTTCGGATGAGGTGAAGACGGGAGGATTGATAAGAAGTCTTCGAGCAGGGCCTTGCCGAACTTCCCTGGCAAAGACCCCTGCTCGATCATATGAGGAGGTCTTGAAGCGGTGCAGGAAGTATATTAATTTGGAAGAAATGGAGGTAGGATTCGTGAAGTTGGAAGGGCCGGCTCGACCAGAGCCAAAGAAGGAGCAAAGCCCACCAAGGGGGAGGTCACCGAGGAGGAGTTCGCCCAAAAGAAGTTGGTCGAAAATGATATCACCCAGGAGGGAAAGTCGAGATTCGAAGCGAGAAAAGAGGGATGACAGGTGGCAGGGAAGGCCGTTGTTGTTCGAGAGACAGAGGTATTATAATTTTACACCCTTGAGGAAGGATTTGACGGAGGTGCTCGAGGCTATGGAGCAGAAGATGTCGACCGAGGATATAACGTGGCCGAAGACAAGGTTCACAGGCCCGACTCGGCCCAGATCAGATATATATTGTCGATTTCATCGAGATTACGGCCATACCACAGAGAACTGCAGGCATTTGAAGGATGAGATTGAAAGGTTGATTCGAGCGATACATTTTAAGGAGCTCGTGTATCATGATAGGGTGAAAGGGAAGGGAAGGAGAAGGTGTCGGGATGATTCGGAGGAGAGAAGTGACAGGGACGAGGAAGGAGGCGATGGAGATGGTCGAGGAAAGAAGCTGAGGATAGATGGCGATAAGGGAGGGCACGGAGGAGAAGCCCCGATGAAGAGAGGGACGATTTACATGATTTCCGGAGGGCCAACAGATGGCGACTTGAATAGGGCCAGGAAGGAGCATGCTCGAGCTGTGAAGAGGAAGAGAGAGGAGGTGGGGATCACGGCTCACATGCCGGTGATAAGTTTTAAGGCGGAGGATGTCGGGGGAGTGGTCCTGCCTCACAACGATGCTCTGGTGATAACCGCGGAGGTTGCAGGTTTTGACGTGAAAAGGGTGTTTATCGATACCGGGAGTTCGGTAGACGTGATGTTCTATGACTGTTTTGTGCAAATTAACAAGGAGTTGAATATGGAGTTGAAACCGGTGACCACGGTACTCTACGGTTTTAACGGGGGAGAGGTTATGCCGATGGGGGAGATCAGTCTGCCCGTGGCGCTGGGATCAGGAGAGCTAAGGAAGGTGCGCATGGTGAGGTTTGTGGTCGTAGGAGTTGAATCATCTTATAACATCATCATGGGGCGGACGAGCTTGAATGCGTTCCAGGCTGTCGTATCCACGTACCACATGACGATCAAGTATCCTGTGGGCGAAAACGTAGGGGAGATTGTCGGGGACCAACTCACTTCGAGGAGCTGCTATCAAACAACAGTGAGCAATAACAAGCAATTGGCGAGAAGGCAGGCCAAGTCAAAAGAGGAGGAGATTAATCGACCAGGTGGCTCGAGGTCAAAAGAGGATAAACAGAGAATGGAGAAGGGTAAGGAGAAGATGGATATTCAGCCGGGGGGGAGAAGTGGAGGAGATTCAGATGATCGAGGGGTGTGAGGAAAGGAAGTTCAGAATCGGAAAGACTTGGAAGAGCCTATTCGGTCGAGGCTTATCGATCTGATAAGGGAGTTCGCTGACATTTTTGCCTATACAGCGGAGGAGTTGACGGGGATAAGTGCGAAAGTGATCGAGCACCGGCTGAACATCGACCTCAGTGTGAGGCCGGTGAAACAGAAAAGAAGGCACCATGGGGCGGAGATGGACAAAATCATTGAGAAGGAGGTCGAGAAGCTATTGGGAGCAGGACACATCAAAGAGATCCAGTTCCCCAAATGGTTGTCGAATACGGTGATGGTGTTGAAGGCAGAAGAAAAATGGAGAATGTGCATTGATTTCCGTGATCTGAACAAAGCATGCCCAAAGGACTTATACCCACTGCCCAGAATCGACCAGTTGGTCGACTCAACGGCGGGGTGCGAATTGCTGAGCCTGATGGATGCCTCCCAGGGATATCACCAAATTCCCTTGGCGAGAGAGGACAGGAAGCGGGTGAGCTTTGTAACGAGTCGAGGAACCTATTGTTATGTGGTCATGCCCTTCGGCCTGAAGAATGCGGGCGCCACGTATCAAAGGTTGGTCGATAAAATCTTTAAAGAGCAGCTGGGGAGGAACATGGAGGTGTATGTGGATGATATGTTGGTGAAAAACAAGGAGGAGTTGGATCATGTGCGGGACTTAAAAGAGACGTTCTCAACATTGCGAAGGTATGGGATGAAATTGAATCCGGCTAAGTGCTCTTTTGGGGTGAGGTCGGGAAAATTCTTGGGTTACTTGGTGACCAAGAGAGGCATTGAAGTGAATCCTGAGAAGGTTCGAGCCGTGATAGAGATGAAGTTGCCGACGAATGTTAAGGAAGTGCAGATCTTAGCTGGTCGAATTGCGGGGTTGAGTCGTTTCATATCGAAGGTGGCGGAGAAAAGTGGCCCATTATTCAAAACATTGAAGAAGAGTGCGAAATTTCAATGGACGGAGGAGGCGCAGAGGGCATTTGAGGAGTTGCGAGGGGTGTTAGCCAACCTTCCCCTATTGGCTAAACCTGTACAGGGCGAGGAGCTGGTGCTATACATTTCTATTGGGGAAAGGGTTGTAAGTTCGATATTATTACGGGAGGAAGGGGTAGCGCAATTTTCTATCTATTATGTGAGTAGGGTGATGCAGGGGGCAGAGATGAGGTATTCGGAGATCGAGAAGTGTGCTTTGGCTGTGGTGGTAACTGCTCGAAAGTTGAGACCTTATTTCTTGAACCATAAGGTGAAGGTGCGAACAAACATGCCGCTGGGAGAAACACTTGGCCGACCATCGGTCTCTGGTCGATTGGTAAAATGGGTGGTCGAGTTGAGTGAATATTCTTTGTTGTACGAGCCAAGGAGGGCCATCAAGGCGCAGGTGTTGTCCGATTTTATCCAGGAAGGCACGAAAGTCGAGGAGGATTCAGGAGGAGTATGGCAGTTATTTGTGGACGGATCTGTGGCACGAAGCGGAGCAGGATTGGGAATTGTCCTTGTTTCTCCCAAGGGCGATTACTTGGAATTTACGGCTAAAGTAGGGTTCAAGATATCCAACAACGAGGCCGAGTATGAGGCAGTGATCAAAGGCTTGAGTTTAGCCAAAGCGGGGGGAGCCCGAAAATTACAAGTGTATTCTGATTCTCAACTGGTGGTCGGGCAGTTTCAGGAGGGGTTTGAAGTTAAGGAGGACCGGATGCAGAAGTACGTGGATGAGATGAGGAAGTTAAAAGAGGAGTTTGATTTATTCGAGCTGATACAAATCCCTCGAGGAGAAAATGGTCGAGCGGACCTGTTATCGAAAATTGCTCAAAGCTTGGTGGATTGTAAGAGCAGAAGTGTCACCTTATTGCATCTTGAAAAGAGTACGGTCGAAGCAGAAGTGGCGGAAATTGAGGAAGTGGAGGATTGGAGGGCCCCGATCCTGGAGGACCTGAGAGGGGGAACAGTAAAGGCGATGAGGAGATATTTTGAACATGGAGGCATTCTTTACAAACGGTCGTATGCGGGACCGCATTTGCGTTGTGTCAGTAAGGAGGAAGGTCGATATGTGCTGAGAGAGATGCACGAAGGATGCTGCAGTGATCACAGTAAGTCAGGGGCCTTGGTCGCGAAGATTTTGAGGGCAGGATATTTCTGGGCCACAATGAGGGAGGATGCGAAGGTGATGGTGAAGAAATGCTTACAATGCCAAAAGCATGGCCCCCTCATTCACCAACCGGCAGAAGCGATGAAGATGATGAGTGCCCCTATACCATTCGCCCAATGGGGTATTGACCTGGTGGGGCCGATGCCTCAAGGAACGGGGCAGAGGAAATTCTTGATAGTGGCGGTCGACTATTTCACAAAGTGGGTGGAGGCCGAGCCCTTGGCGAAGATTACGGAGGAAAAAGTAATTAAATTCCTATACAACAACATTTGCTGCCGGTTTGGCGTTCCCAAAGTGTTGATTTCCGACAATGGTACTCAGTTCAATGGCAAGCGGATTCGAGCATGGTGCGAAGACATGAAAATCGAGCAACACTTTGCCTCCGTTGCTCATCCGCAAGCCAATGGCCAGGTCGAAGTAACCAACCGAATTATATTGAATGGGCTGAAAATAAAGCTGGAAAAGGCCTTGGGAGCATGGGTCGATGAGTTGAGCTCGGTACTTTGGGCGTATCGCACAACCCCGAGGTCGACAACAGGAGAAACCCCTTTCAGTTTAGCTTATGGAATGGAAGCATTGCTGCCGGTCGAGGTCGAGCTATCATCCCAGAGGTCGAGCACATATAATGCTGAACAGAACAAGGATCTAATAATGGCGGTTCTGGACACTATTGAGGAGCTGCGCGGAAGAGCACCAATCAGGGTGGAGGCGTACAAACAAAGGATGCGAGCCGCTCATGACAAAAAGGTGAAAATTCGCAGACTCCAAGTAGGCGACCTGGTTTGGAAACGCGTCGATGTGCTCAAGCATGTGGGAAAGCTGGAGCCGAACTGGGAAGGGCCATACCTGGTCGAGCGAGTGCACGCACGAGGAGCGTACTCGCTGAAGGATACTGAAGGCCGATCACTTGGCAGGTCATGGAACATAGCTAATTTGAAAAAAATACTATGTGTGAAATTTTTTTCCTTTTTTTTTTACGAAAGCTGGAAAATTCGAACAAAGATGTAAATTGCAAAGTTTGCTCAAAAGTTAATGAAGTTCAATGATTCTTCTGCTTTTGTTCGCTTTATTGCACATTTTCTTATGCTTGAAATGTTGGTATAATTTGGATGACAGGATGTATGTGGTGTGGTTTGACTTGGAAGTCACTTGTTTAGAACATCCCTTGGGGTGGGCAGGTTGGTGGAAGACCTCCTGTTTGGAACATTCCTCGCGGGTGGGCAAGTGTGAAGACAAAAACCCACCATGACTAAGACCCTCGGGCTGGGTGGTCGCTTGTTTAGAACATCCCTTGGGGTGGGCAGGTTGGTCGAAGACCTCCTGTTTGGAACATTCCTCGCGAGTGGGCAAGTGTGAAAACAAAAACCCACCATGACTAAGGCCCTCGGGCTGGGTGGTCGCTTGTTTAGAACATCCCTTGGGGTGGGCAAGTTGGTCGAAGACCTCCTGTTTGGAACATTCCTCGCGGATGGGCAAGTGTGAAGACAAAACCCACCATGACTAAGACCCTCG